CAGAGAACTGAAGACACAGTTCTTGTTGTTCTGAAAAATGCAAATTCTAAATGCTAAACTTTTGAAATTAAAACAGACATTCCCAAAAATGCAAATGGAATCTAGCACCACTCAATGCGTCCCTACTACTCTTTAGCTACTCTCAAAACAAATAAGTTTTGAGCAGCCAAAAATATTCCACCTGGTCATAATCTAGAAATTGGATAGCTGTCTTTGGATGTATGACAAAGTTAGTAATGGACAAGCACATATTCATGAGCCATTTATAAATATATAGTCATTGATCTTCATGGTCTTCATAAAGCCATGTGATTTTCTCTGCAGCCTTTTAGAACATTTAACCACAGATTGTGATTAAAAATCAGTTTCCTATGCTAAAGAAACAGAACTTAGAAACAAATAGTCACCTTAAAAGTTCACTGATTTTCTTGCTTCAGTGACACAATATAATGATGTCAAGGTCTAGGAAAAAAGACTACAATATTAACAAGATAGAGGACTAACTTAATGGAAATTCCATTGATAAAATGCCATCCACATATAGTAAGTAATTGTTCTTTGGCTATTATACTCTTACCAAAGAAGCAATATATCAGGGGCTTGCTCATCTGAGCATAACTCTAAAAAAGTCTGAGAAGGTGCAAGCTCTATATCACCAAACCATGGAACATTAAAAGCAACTAACTTATTCATTAATTATTGTATTCCACCAGCTTGTAGTCAAAAATTATGACAGGCATATTAATCTAAAAATATTTTGAGTATAAGTGAGGTGAATGCATTATTTTCTTATTATACTGAGGATGATTCTGAAGGGAGTCCCTAAGATAGATTTGATTCATCTAGCAAGTGGCATTGCAGTTGATCACATAATGTTGGCATTAATTTGAGTAAGAACTTTCACAAAATTTACATGCCCAAATGCTGTGCTGTGGGATGAGATGAAAGCTACAAATGAAGGCTGCCTTTGGTGTCAAACCAATAATGTTGTGCAATGTTCTGTAATTCAGCTATGGAGCTAAAACATCATTATTACTAAAAGCAAACATTATGTTAGCTATGAGGGGAAAAACAAAATACAAAAATCCATATAGAGGGAGTAGCCCTCTAAGGTCAAACAAATACAAAATGATGCAGCCTTTGGACTTTCCAGAATGTTTTCATCAAGCAAGATGATTAAAAATTGGGGCCAAAGTACTGTTTCCAGGAATCCATCCTTTTCTGTAGTGGGTTATATTTTTATGCAAATGAGTCAACAGACATGCATATTGCAGCTTTTTGGGTATAGAAGAGTGGTAGGTGACACTGAGGACTTTAACATGCCAACCTTGGAAGAGAAGAAGTAATTTACTAACAGCAAAAATAAAGTTATTAAAATCAAATGTGTTGCTACTTCTTTTAATGTAAATCCTACTGTTGTCCTTCTCATGGTAAAGGAGAATTTACCAAATTGGAAAGGGTAAATTAAGCAATTGATTTTCAAATTTGGAAGTTCCTGAATCACTGCATGCCAAGCTGATTCTATCTCAGTTATGTTGTCACAATTTATAATTGCTTTCAAATACCTTTGGGCATTGAACTCCATTTACATCTCAGATTTGGAACAAATATATACAGTAAACAAATAAATATATATTTGTTCCAAATCTGAAATGGAGTTCAGTGCCCAAAGATATATAAAAAACAATTAGATGTGGGAAGAAAGACTGGATGGTGATTGTTATGTCCCGAGCCTTTGCAAACGGCTCGGGCGTTTGCAGGCAGTCCCGGGCAGGTGCAAAGCTGCCCGGGACCAGACAGGCTGTCGCCAGCGCCGTGCGCATGCGCGGGTGCTGGCGCGGGAAAAGTAACCCATTTACCCGGGAGTTGCCTATATAAGAGGCTGCGAGGCGTTTGGGCGAGGCTGAAGCCATCTTCCTGTAAGCTGAACGCTGAATAAAAGAAACTGAGAACTCCAGCTGCTTCTCATGTCTGCTTTCCCGCCAAGGACGCAACACTGGCGACGAGGATGGGATGCCTTGCACTACCTGGAAAGGAAGAAGTGTAAGCTTACCCAAGGAGTCCTGAGCGGCGGAAGAGGAACGGCGTCGACTCGGCAGCTGCCCGCCAATCCGGTGCGCATTCGGGGGTAGGCTGGCTGATAGACCCGTCTCCTGAAGATCCGAAGATGGCGAAAATCGGAAGGCTTTCGGAATTCGACGTCTCACATCCAGAGCGGTGGGAGTCCTACGTATCCAGAATGGAGAACTACTTCAAGGCAAACCAAGTGAGGGAAGATAGCTTGAAGGCCGCCACCCTGCTTTGCGTTTGCGGCCAAGACGCCTTCGAAATCGCAGAAAATCTTGCAGCACCTGTTCCAGTAGAGTCTGTAAGCTACGCAGACCTGAAGAAGCTGATGAAAGAGCACTTCCACCCCAAGGTGTCCGTTATCTCATGGCGCCACACCTTCGAGCAGAGGGATCAACGGTCCGGTGAAACAGCCAAGGAATACATCGCCGCGCTACGGAAGGCCGCCAAGCCCTGCGAGTTCAAGGACCTCGAGGAACGACTGAGGGACCGATTCGTGTGCGGGTTAAGGCATCGCGAGCTACAACAGAGACTTTTCGCAAAGGAAGAATTATCCTTCCAAGACGCCTTAAGGGAAGTCACCGCAGAAGAAGCAGCAGGCGGCGCCATCAAAAACATGCGGCCGATCAGAAACAGTGCAGAGGGTGCGTCCGTGCACCAGGAAGACGTCCGACGAAACTCCGAGGAGGATCCGGACGAGGAAGTCGACCGTCTACACCCCGCGAAGGAAGAGAACCAGAAGGGAAGCTCTTCGGCTCCGCTCAAGTGCATCGGCTGTGGAGGTCGCCACAGGAGAACCGACTGCAAGTTCCGCTCCGCTACCTGCCGGGCATGCGGCAAACAAGGGCACATTGCAGCTGTGTGTCTGAGCCGACGAAAGGCACAACCCCAAGAAGAACGCCTGAAAGGTACCAGATTCCCCAGCCAGAATAGGGTAGGGTTTTGCGCTTCGCGAAGAAGCATCTGTAGAACAGGCACACACAAGCCCATGAAGAAAAAGCTGTCACTCAACGTGAAGCTACAAGGGGTTCCATTATCTATGGAACTAGACACAGGGTCTGCCCTGTCCATCATTTCATTGCATACATTTAGGAAGATTTGTTCCAGAAGTGGGTCTAAGGCCAAGTTAAGGCCTTCTGATATTGTATTAACAGATTTTCAGAACTCAAGAGTGTGTGTTAAGGGGGAGGCCACCCTTAACGTGCAATACAAGAGTTTTGAAGGTCCACTAGACTTATTAGTAGTAGGGGGTGAACGAACGAGTCTCATAGGACTCGATTGGTTTGAGGCCCTGGGGATACACGTCACAGGACTCAACAGCTTACAAACACTCGACCTACAGGAAGTCTGCAAAGAATTTGCAGATGTTTTCAGCCCCCAGCTGGGCACATTCAAAGGACCACCTGTGTCCTTAAAGCTAGACCCCACTGTCACTCCCATTAGGATTAAAGCAAGAAGGGTCCCTTTTGCTTTAAAAAGTAAGATTGACACTGAACTAGACAAACTAATCCAACAGGGAATCCTAGAACCTGTTGATTCCAGCCCGTGGGAGACCCCCATTGTCACGCCTCTAAAGGCAAATGGGGACATTCGCATTTGTGCTGATTACAAATGCACACTCAATAAGGCATTGCAGCAACATGCCTATCCTGTTCCTGTGGTCAGTCACATCCTGGCCTCTCTCAAGGGGGGGGCGTGTTTTTGCAAAGCTTGACCTAGCTCAAGCATATCAACAGCTGCCTGTTGATGATGATGCTGCCATAGCTCAGACCATTGTGACCCACAGGGGAGCCTTTAAAGTAAAAAGGCTACAGTTTGGAGTAAATGTCGCTCCTGGGATTTTCCAAAGCGTAATGGAAAACACACTACGAGGTATACCAGGGGTCTGCCCCTACTTTGACGATGTCTTGATTGCAGGAGACTCCACACACATTCTAGCTGAAAGACTTAGGGCTGTCCTGTTAAGATTCAGGGAATCAGGCCTCAAGCTCAGAAAAGACAAATGCAAGATCGGGGTGCCTTCTACTGAATTTCTGGGATTCAAAATTGATGCTGCTGGGATTCATCCTGCTGAATCCAAACTAACTGCTATTTTACAAGCACCCAGGCCAAAGTCTAAGGCCGAACTTCAGGCCTTCCTAGGCCTCCTGAATTTCTACAATTCTTTTCTTCCACATAAAGCTAGTGTAGCTGAGCCTCTTCACAGGCTACTAGACAAACAAGCTGTGTGGCTGTGGTCACAAGCACATGAGGCTTGCTTTAAAGAAGTCAAGGCCTTGCTCACTTCTAACAGTGTTCTTGCACATTTCAACGAGTCTCTTCCTGTGTGCATCGCTTGTGATGCATCCCCCTACGGGGTTGGAGCTGTCCTGAGTCACCTCAGGTCTGATGGAACTCAGGTTCCTATTGCATACTACTCCAGAACACTGTCTTCTGCCGAGCGCAACTACGCTCAGATAGACAGGGAGGCTCTGGCTGTTGTTGCTGGAATTAAAAAATTCCACGATTTTCTATATGGCAGGCATTTCACGGTCTTCACTGACCATAAGCCTCTGCTGGGACTGTTTACCACACGTAAGCAGACTCCCCACATCATTTCCCCTAGAATGCTTAGGTGGTCTATTTTTTTGTCTGCATATGATTTTTCATTACTCCACAAGCCTGGGAAAGAAATGGGCCATGCTGATGGCCTCAGTAGGTTGCCTCTGCCAGTAGTAGAAGCTGACCCCGCGCCAGCTGTCAACATTCTATCAATCCAAGCCTTGCCCGAGCTCCCTCTTAGTGCCAGGGATGTTACCGCTGAAACGGGTACAGATCACACACTTTCACGTGTCCACTCCTGGGTCCTGTCCGGGTGGCCTGAGCACTGCCCTAGTCCTGAGTTTCAGAGTTTCTGGTCCAAAAGAAACGAACTGTCCCTTTCTCAGGGTTGTCTGCTTTGGGGAAACAGAGTTGTCATTCCCACCTCAATGAGGACTAGGGTCTTAGAATCCCTCCACGAGGGTCATCCTGGCATTGTCCGTATGAAGGCTCTTGCACGAAGCCACTTGTGGTGGCCTGCTTTAGATAAAGATATTGAGGCTAAGGTGCACGCATGCCACCTGTGCCAACGATCTCGCCCAGAGATGCCCCAAGCTCCTGTGCATAGATGGGAGGAAACACAGTCCCCATGGTCTAGGGTGCACATTGACTACGCTGGGCCCTTTCAGGGCCAGTTCTTCTTGGTCCTTGTTGACAGCCATTCAAAATGGCTTGAGGTTGTGCCTGTCTCATCCACCACCACTGCAAAGACTATTCAGGTACTGAGGGGGATTTTTGCTGCACACGGGCTGCCAGATGTCATTGTGTCCGACAACGGCCCTCAATTCACCTCCTCCGAATTCCAAGCTTTCTTACAGGCAAACCTGATTCGTCATGCCACGTCTGCGCCTTTTCACCCGTCCACCAACGGTATGGCTGAACGCATGGTGCGCATCGCAAAGGACGCCTTGAAGAGACTCACCTACGGGGACTGGCATCACAGGTTGGCTGACTTTCTCCTTTCTTATCGCACCACACCGTCCACTTCTACAGGGAGAAGTCCAGCTGAACTTCGTTGGGGGCGCCAACTTACTACTAGACTTGACCGGTTGCATCCGGACAGACTGCCTTCATCTACCTCACATCCTAGGGCACCTAGACAACTACTTGTGGGTGCCCCGGTTTGGGCTCGCAATTACGGGCCTGGTCATACATGGGTCCCCGCTTCTGTGTCCAGGATCACAGGTCCTCTCTCCTACGAGGTTGCCCTGGACAACGGTCGTGTCCTACGTCGGCACATCGACCAACTTCGCTCTAGGCGAGACTTTTCTGCTGAGACTCCTGGGTCTTTTCCAGGGGGGGAGGGGGACCCTTTGGAGCAAAGGGAAGGGCACGAGCTGCTGCCCATCTCCACTGAGGGAGCCACAAACGGCCCATCCCAGGGTTCCGCGAGAGCTCCAAACAAGAATTCCATGAGCTTACCTAACTACCAGGCATCCACGCCTACTCCAGCCAGGGAGTCACCCCGGGGGCATACTCACTTTCCACACACGTCACACGGCACTCCAGTCACGGAGGATACCCGGGGGCATCCCAACAAATCATTCCCCGCAAGAGAGCTGGCACACAATCCCCAAGGTTGGCCTGACCTTACCCCAAATCCTACAGGGGGTCAAACATACACAGAGCTAGTCGAGGAACCAAGTCCCGACTACAACAACCCTAGCACAAATCAGGGAACACCTGAGTTTTGGGAAAGTACAGAAACCCACACGAGCCCGAACACAGAATGGGGTTCAGGGAATGGACAGCCTCCTGACAGGTCTTGGACTGACCTAGGAGGTCCTACAGAGACGCCCAGCAGCGGCTATCACTTCAAGGGGCCCGAGGGTCTACAGCTAGGCAGGTCAACCAGGTCACAAAGCAACAGAAGCCCTGGCCTGACGAGCCCGGTGGGCAAGCGAGCAGGCCAGGCATTGGGGCACAGTCCTTGGAAGACACCAGGGCACAATAGAGAGAAAAGGCTCACGCCTCCCTCCAGTCAGGGGACTTATGCCAGTAATCCAGAGCTAAGAAGGTCACAGAGAGCAAAGAAATCTCCCAAGTACCTAGAAGACTACATAACATTGCTGGCAAGGCAAAGGCCAGTAAACAGTGGGAGCACTGGGGAGCAAAATGTCATATAAAATAAATGTTGTATGTTGGTAGTAGTTTTAGCCCGGGGGAAAGGGGTGTTATGTCCCGAGCCTTGCAAACGGCTCGGGCGTTTGCAGGCAGTCCCGGGCAGGTGCAAAGCTGCCCGGGACCAGACAGGCTGTCGCCAGCGCCGTGCGCATGCGCGGGTGCTGGCGCGGGAAAAGTAACCCATTTACCCGGGAGTTGCCTATATAAGAGGCTGCGAGGCGTTTGGGCGAGGCTGAAGCCATCTTCCTGTAAGCTGAACGCTGAATAAAAGAAACTGAGAACTCCAGCTGCTTCTCGTGTCTGCTTTCCCGCCAAGGACGCAACAGTGATGATGATACCTGAGCTGTTTCTGCCACCAAAGTAGTATAATAGATGTTAGTGGTAGATTTTTGTTCTTGTTGTTGATTGACTTTTGGTTAAGACTGTTTTGCATGTACTTTATCCCACATGCCTTTCAGATCTGCTTTTGGGTTGGAAGTTAAAGGTGGGATATCCACTGATTTCCTTTAATTAGGTTGTCACAGCTAAATAGAGATACATTCCAGGACTATTGATCTCCATTAAAACTGCCTGGTTGTCCCACTTCGAAGAGTCAAAAACAATCATGCCCTGGGCCTAGAGTTTGCATCTGAAAGGTATTTCAGGAAGAACAAAATAGAACGATTCATGTCCAGGATATTCTATTAACTCATTTAAGAGGAGATTGGAACATCTATTGCAGCACCATTTTTGGTAATGTGAGCTGAACTTTCAGAAATAACTTCTACTTGGAATACTCAAATGAGCTGCTTCAAGGGCTAAAACTGAATATTCAATCAATCTGAATTCAAATTCAAATAAATTCAGTTCAAATAAAACAATACTGGATGACCAGGAGTTCTAGTCCTGCCTTAGACATGAAAGCCAACTGGGTGACTTTGGGCCAGACTTTCTTTTTCAGAGGGCTGTTGTTGTGTGGAAGGACTATTAGTTATATTTGCCACCTTGAGTTATTTATAAAAATAAAAAGTGGGATATAAATAAATGCATAAAATTAATAGTATACTATTGTGTAAAGCCTACGTAACACAGGTGCTGTGGGCATAAAAATAGGTTGTCCCAAAGGTGCTTTTTCAAAAGCCAATTGGACTTTGCTTTTCTTTGAAGACGTTTTGCTTCTCATCTAAGAAGCTTCTTCAGATTCTGAAGAATGGATGAGAAGCAAAATTCTTTAAAGAAAAGCAAAGTCCAGTTGGCTTTTGAAAAAGCACCTTTGGGACAACTATATCCTGGATGACTGAGAATCTTCATAGACATAAAAATAGGGATTTGAGTAGCTTTCTCAGCCACTTCTATAGGCTGACTTTTTGTGTCAATATGAAGATTTTCTTCTTTGGAGAATTACAGTAGATTCTGGATCAGCTAGGTATTATGCCAGTTTGAGTTTGCAAGTCCATAATATAGTTTGGATTTATTTTCTATTCCTTTTAAATCATTGAGGAAGTAGAGAGCCAAAATTGCAAATGAAAAGATTGCTGATCATGAACTTGTTTCCAGACATTCATATTCACTATGAAAAAACAATAACAACTGATAGCTGGGATAGATATATATATATCCTGGCATATGGGGAGATTTTATATATTATTTTTCTACCAAATCCTCCATTTATTCATCATGTCCTGTAAGCAGCATTTGTTTGTTTCATGGTCTGCAATCAAAATCCATGCTACTCAGAATTCATCCTTTCTTAATATTTTGAATACATGTTTGATATTTCCTTTAATTCTATGTTACTCGTAATTTAATGTCAATTTCCTAATACAATTGTTTCCTTTTAAAATGAGATGGCTTATGCCCATGTAACCAATGTTGAAAGCTTGTCAGAGCAGCAGTATTTTGTTTTCAGTCAATTATCTGTTTTTGGGAGCTGTAAAATTGGGGAATAATAATTTGGAGAAATATTAAAATATTATTAAAATGGCCTCATAATTAGTTAGTTGGATATCTATTTCTGAGCATCACGTTTTAGCAACAAACCATTTTAAACATATTCTATTGTTAATATATAATAAGAATTCAGTTGAAAAGATATATACTTTCCTTTCCTTTCCTTTCTTCTCCTCTCCTTTTTATTTTCCTCCCCTCCCCTCCCCCTCCCCTTCCCCTTCCCCTTCCCCTTTCCCTTGTAATGATAATGATTATAATCCTTACTGAAATAGATAAGTATAGATCTGTTTGATGTGAGGACAACAGTTTTCTCTGGAAAGACTCTGTTTTATCATTTTGAAATAATGTACAGTATATGATGTATATGTGTATAGGAGAGTACTTCATCTTGACATAGCTGTTTGGTCAAGGGGATAATATTCCCTTCCTTGACAAGACACTTCATCACAAGGAGGCAATATGTTCACCTTGATGCTTGCATAAGAAATGTTGAGGCAGGAAAGCTGCCTTTATGGGACCCACGCAAATGAAAAAGCTAGTTCTGATGACTGAAGTGCATAGCAGCCATGTTTGCTTAAAAGTGAGGCACCACAGTTTTTCATGCAGCATCCCAAAGTTTGCTTTGATAGAGGTGTTGAATAAAGCAAAATGCCCCTTCAAAGTTTGGATAGCCCCAATGAATCATATTAGAACAATCCGACTGTATTGACTATATGACAAATAGCTATATACATAGATTAATGGGAAATCAGCACAAAATATGGGAAATTGCCAGTGGATTGTAGCATTGGTGGCTGGATATTTTGCTTGGTCGTCGTAATTGAGGACAAATCTTTTATACTTTTCATTATACTGGGACAAATGTCATTAATCGTAGAACATGCTGAATGACTCTGTCTTTAGAAGTCCCTCCTCAGTGAGGATTCATTGGAAATTGTTTTAGGGATAGCGGCCTTCCAGTACTTGAGAGGCTGTCACAGAGAAAGGGTTGACCTATCTTCCAAAGCAGCTGGGGATGCAGAACTAGAAATAACAGGTGGAAGATCATTAAAGAGATACCCAACCTAGAACGATGGAGAAATTTCCTGAGAGTGAGAATAATGAATCTGTGGAATGGCTTACCTCTAGAGGTTGTGGGAGCTCCATCACTGTAGACTTTCAAGAAGAGACCGGGCAATCATTTGTCCAGAATGGTATAAGTTTCTTGCTTGAGCAGAGGGTTGGACTAGAAGACTTCCCTTGCAACCCTATGATTGTATGTCATAAATGTTTGTAGCAGTACCAAATTAGGTATGCTTTGGAGAGTTCACTGTGCTTCATATACTTCTACAACTCTACATAAAAATGGTAATGGTTATTTACAAGCCAAAAACAATAAAGAAAACCAAAGCAAGGATACAAGAAAAAACTAAAGCAAGCAGAAAAATAAATAAAATTCAATACTTATAAGCTATGAGAAAATTATTATAATAGTTTTTGAACAACAAATTGAAACTTAAATACACTATATATCTTAATAATGAAATTTGAATAAGCAACCTTTTGTCTCCAAAGTGCTATTATGTACCTTTGGAAGAATGCAGTCTGGAGTCCCAGGGAAGGCCTGCTTCCAAGAGAACAAAGAAGCAACAGATGATGGAAAATCTGGGAGGCCGCAAGAAAGCTAAGACTTTCACACCTAGCAGTTCACAGTTGCTTTAATCTGACAAGATTTTGCCTGTTGGTGAACAATAATAAAGAAACTACAGGTAGTCCTCAACTTACAACTTAGTGACTGTTTGAAGTTACAAGGGTAGTGAAAAAGTGACTTATGAGTGCTTTTCACACTTACGACTGTTATGTATGCCTGACTACATTCCTTCATGACCAGAGGCAAGCTCGCCTGACCAATAACCAGCCAAGACACAGTGAAGGCCTTTTGTTTCATTTATTGCAATAAACGGGGAGAGAAGCTATCAAAGCTTGGTTCTCTCCAAAGTTTCAACCCTTCTTTATATAATCCTGTCCCGGCCGCCACATCTCTCCTCTTTCCTCATTGGCTGAGGCACATGAAGTTACACTCTTTCCGACCGCCTCCTATTTCCTGCTACATACTAAATCATACATCATATGTACATTAACAATATAAAATATTAGACATATTCAATTGTTGGTTTTGAATTCTGGGCCCCTTAGAACAGGAGCCTTCAAACTT